TTCCTACATTTCTGTTATTTTTATTGTAAGCTTTCCTTAACTTCCAGAGATACATTTTCTTTGATGTTATTGTGGAATGGGTTTCTAATTAATTTTCAAAGATTATTAGTGTTGAAAGCACATGGGACCTGGGCAATAGAACAAGACTCTTGGTACACTCCAGACCACCAAGCGCAGAATCTGGGAAACTGATGAGGGAGACTCTGAGACTCTGTCCCATGTGTGGACCCCTCTGAGGACACTAAGAAGCTGTAGTGTCATTCTATGATGGATCCTATGTCACAGAGATAAAATGTAGCGGGTGGCTTTGTTACCCCACTAGCTCTTCTGGTCATTGGCATTGGCAACAGAAGACGTATTTCTCTTGCCGACTTGCACTAATCCAGTTGGGTTATTTCTCTACCAACACCTTCTGGAGTAGGACAGAGACAGCTGTGTGCTCAGCATCTGGGTCATTGTGCTGCCTCTCCTGCTACCGGCTTCTTGTTCCACACCTGCCATGGTGAGGAGGTTTCTGCTTTATCTTGCTTTGGTACATCTTAACACCATTACAGAGGATTCCAGCTTGCCTGACTTATGATAGTAATTTGGGTAAATACCTTATCACCCCTTTCTGACTGCGCTGCTCTTACGGGTAGACTAAACCAATTTCCAGATTTGGCACAGCCATTGTATTGCCTTATTTCACCCAGACAGATGAGGCCTATTCCCTCCCCCTTCCCATTTTAAAAAGGCCAGAGAACATTACAGCTTCTATTTTTCCTCTCTAACAGTTATCCATGTTGCAATTCTCACTTTTTCCATTAATCTCTTCCCAAGAAGTTCTAATGTGTACTGAACACTCCTCTTTTAAAACACTCAGAGCACTTACAGCCTATTTCAAATTTTTTTGACTAAAAATTATATGGCCCAATGGCTTCTATGTGTTTTGTTTGTTTCTTTGTTTGTTTTTGTTTTTCACGAGGATTCATATGTGGAGAGGCTGGGTTCCCAGTGCAGTAATATTGAGGTTGGGCACCTTTTTTTAAAAAGGCAGGACCTACAGTGAGGCAATCTAGTTTTCCTCCTGTTGCTGTGATAAAAAAAAAAAAATATTCTGGCAAAAACAGCTTAGTGGAGGAGAGGGTTAATTCAGCTTATACTTCCAGGTCACAGTCCATCATTGAGAGAAGCCAGGGTAGGGACTGAAGCAAAAACCATGGAGGAATGCTGCTGCCTGGCTTGCTTTCCTATACAGTGTGGGGATGGTGCTGCCCACAGTGGGCTAGGCCCTCCTCTGACAATAATAAAGAAAGACAATCTCACATAGACATGTCCATAGGACAATATCATCTGGGCAATCCCTCAATTGAGATCCTCCACCTCAGGTGACCCTAGGCTGTGCCAAGTTGACAATCAAAGCTAAGTAGGACTTGTGGTAACATAGACATGACCACCCCACTGATGGGATTAATGCTAATCTCCAGGCTGGATTTGGTCTCATAGCACCCCATTGTTCACATTTTTCAGCCACTAGAATTTTAGACATGACCCAGTGTCAGATAGCTGGTTACAGAAACACATAATAGACCTAGTCAGTAGTTAAGTCCATAGATTCTATATCCAGGCAAACTAGATTCTAAAATTCCATTTTAGCTTTAAATGACAGCACGGGTTGAACTTAGCTCTGGGACTCAGTTCAACATCTATAAAACAGAAGTAATATCATATACATACATCTTATGGTGCTTTTACAAGACTTCAATGAGATAATGCATATAAAGCCCTAAGCACAATGCTCAGAATATAGTAAGCATTCAATAAATGTTAGTTTTATAGGACTGCCTTGTATAAGTCAGATTAGGCTAAGTTATGCTACAATAAGAAGCAACCTCAGCTATAGTCTTGACAGAAGCATAGGGGTATTTCTCACTCTTGCTAAAAGTCTCAGGGAATTGATTCTATATTGCTTGGCTCCAGGAACCAGGCTAACAAAGGAGCTGGTACTGTAACATTGCCAGTCACACTATAAAAGGGAAGTGAGACCGTTCTAAAGCAAGAATTGGCCCTCAGAGCTTCTGCAGGGAATGACACCTGTCACTTCCCCTCACACTTCATTGGCCAGTCACACAGCCACACTGTAGAGTCTAACTACACTGGAACAAAGAAGAAGCAATTCTACTCTCGAATGGGGAGGGGAAGAAACAGTTGTAAGTGCTTCATTTATGTTTGGTTTACTGTTGCAGTTATAGGATTGGCATGTCTTAGAGGCCCTGAGAACCCAGTATATAGTTGAAAGTGTATGCATATTATATGGATGGATAGTGGGTGTTAATCATGTCTCTATATTTTGAATAGAGTTGAGTGATTGAAGGAGAAACTGTTCATTGATACATGGCAATTGTCTGGAAATGTCAACTGATAAACTGACAGCAAAGGACCACAGATCCCTGCTTCTTAAAACAAATAAAGCCATCCACCCGTGACATGTGTTTCACCTGAGCATCTTTGAAGTCCATCTGTTATGGCTCTTCTTGGTTGCCATCTGTAACGCGTAAGGTCCCACCGCCGCGCCAGCCCCAATTAACACACTGAGACTCTGTATTAGATATAATTCTGTTGGCCCAGTTACTTGTTTCTTATAGGCTAGCTCTGTCTTAAGTATTAACCCATTTCTATGTATTTCCACATGGTCTTACCAGTGAGAGGCGGCTGGCGGTTCTATTCTCTCCAGACTCTCCATGTTGGCTCCTCCTTACTCCTTTCTCTTCCTCCTTGTCTCCTAGTCCCTCCTATCTTCCTTTCCTATTGGCCAACAGTGCTTTATTTATTAACCAGTATGAAAAACATATACAGAATGACATCTCCCATCAACTGGGTACAACTGTGAGGGGTTTGGGGTTTTTGTTTTGTTTTGTTTTCTTAATTAAATAATTTTAAGTGGGAGTACACACCTTTGATCTGAATCTTCTGAGGTGGAAAGACCCATCTTTAATCTGGGCCATGCCTTGTGCTGGCAGGCTATATAAAGGACAAGGAAGCTTGCTCTCTCTTTGCCTGCTTGCTTTTCCTCTCACTGGCCAGTGCATTCCTTCACTGGCATTAGCCTACTTCTTTGAGACTACAGCATATACTGAAGACCAGCTGAGACATCCAACTACTGGATTCTTAGGACTCTCTGTTGATAGACAACCACTGTTGGACTAGCTGGACCACAGCCTACAAGACACACTAACAAATTGCCTTTTTTTATATTTATAAAGAGATTCATTCTATTTGTTCTGTTCCTCTAGAGAACCCTAACTAATAAATTACCTTTGCCTCAAGATTTCCTATTAGATAGTTTGGCATGATGGCTCAGCAGGATGGCTCAGTGGGTAAATATGCCCATCGCCAATCCTAACTACCCTAGTTTTGATCCCCAGGACTCCCATGACAGAAGAAGAAAACCAACTCTCAAAAGTTGTGTCTTCTAACTTCCACACATGTATTGAGGCATGTGTGCAACCTTCTGAGATGCATACACCCATGCAAGCAAAATAAACAAAATACAATGTAATCAAATTTTAAAAATGATTTCCTATTCATTTTTCTTGTTGGTTTTCTGTAGAATTTGTGGTGTTGATACCAGTTTTATCTATAGATCCACAAATCCAAGGCCCAAATGATTAATTTCCTCTTGACAGCAATTAGGACATGATGCTTTTGCATTACCTCAGGGGAAAACATGTATGTAGCCTGTGAATCTGGGCACCAAGTAGATCTAGTTTGTTGAAGGTGATTCTTTAAATAAATATATGGCAAAGAGAAATATCTGTAGCATGGAAGTGTAAATCTCTAAAGAAAATAAAACTTTATCCCTCAGGGAACTTTGGGTATGTCTCTATAATTATTCATTATTATTGACTGTCAAGCCCCGGTTTTATCCCTAACTTTGAGGGTATTTCTTTCAAGTCACTCTCAGGTTTGAAACTTGCAGTTGAAATTCCTTCCTGGGGCATAGTCCTGGCCCCACTCCTTCTGTAGCTTTATCAGAAGCTCACATCCCTGGAGTATTTCCTGTGCCAACAGCAGATTACACCACTATTGGGAATATCAGTCATTTCTCCAGAGCTTTCTTCCTCAGTCAGCAGTGATCAGATGTGTCATATGACCCAGCCACCAAGTCCTCCCTGCTCAGCACTAGAAAGGGATTTCCAGTGGGGCAGCTCACTCCTTTCAAGTTCCCTACTCATGGCTTACCTTTTTCTTTAGAGTCCCAAATGGGAACAGATGTGACAAAGTCATTAAAGCTGCTGGTCCGGGGACTGTGGGGGGTAGCCTGGAGACCCATCAAAGAGTTCCATGGAAGGGAAGGGTGTCGGCCTATATACTCACTCTTTCCTTCCATTCTTCCTAGCTTTCTCCATTTGTTCTTACCAATATCTCCACTGAATTATATGCCAATCAACTTTGAAATGAATCCCTTTAGCTGCCAGCTCTTTCACAACCTGCTTTCGATGTGCATACACTGTGTGCTTTCAAACGCTACATGCCCCTTTCCAATGCAAACCAGTAACAGGGTACACTGCAATTTAAAGGCACTTACAACTATCAGGAGAGCTAGAAGAAAGTTCTCTGCTTTGTTTATAACTTCCATATCTGTGTAATTTAACATATTTTATAACACATAGAAAGTTTCAATTCGAAGTTAGGATGAAAGTATGGAGGGTGTGGCGTCAAATACCAGCAAAGCCAGCAAACTTTCAGGGCGCAAATTTCCATACCCACTGCTTCCACGATCTTAGATGATGCACGTAATTATTCTTTGCCTTAGTTTTCTCACCTATAAAATGACTGCATCGGTCTTCACTGGAGATAAACATGAACACTTAGGGTTCCTTAAGCAGAAAAGGATAGAATATAGGGGGCCAGGTACTTATAAAATTGTTGAAAGACACGAAGGAGCAGACTGTAGCCTCAGCCAATATTAAGAAGTTTCAAAATGCCATCACTTTACAGCCAGCTAAGAGGACACTTACATCTGCCAGTCAGAAAGCGGGGGAAACAGGAGGCCACTGTCCAAACTTCTGAACGCAGGATCACATCATCACAGAAGTAGTCCAAGAACACCGGAAACGAAGAGATTTGGAATCTGTCATTACCACCGCTGACTCCAGAGTCAAACTGTTAGACCATCTGGGTATGCATCAGAAAACCGAATAGCACACTTCAAACTCCTTATCACCCTACTTAGCTCAGTGAGGAGTTCCGGTTCTGACTTCCAAATGGATGAATCAAAATCACACGAGGACTATAAGCTGCAAGGCATTCTGGGAAGTGTAGTTTTTAAACCAGCCACTGCAGGATAGGAAGTAATCCTGGAGGGGGTGCAATCGCCATTGACCACGACAGGCCACAGTATGCTGCTTAGTCGTTAACTGAGACTGATTATGTAAAGTGCCTTACACAGTGCCTATTACATAGGAGGCATGTAGAAATGTTATCCCTTGTCATTTTACCTAGAAGACCTGTCATGTAAGCTCTGCTGGTGATTGTTACACAGTTTCAGGAGTGCCATGGGCATAAAGTATCCAGTTCAATTCAACAACCTCATTGGGTGGAGCTCTGTTATTTTTGGTACAGGGTATTTATTGGCAGAGTCCATGCATGCATCTTTGTGTTCCACATTCCTGGATTTTGTTTTTTTTCAGGTGACTGAAAAATGAAGGCAACGATCCACTTCCTGCCTTCTGACAGGATGCCGAACATGCTTGCTAAGGGTTGCAGGATAGCCTAGCTTCCTTGAATGCATAGGCTTGCAGTTTAGACAGTTTCGTGAAGTCATTGTATAGATATTGGCCAAGGCACACTGTTTGCAGGTGTTTCATCTGATGGCTCTGAGGCAGGGGCTTGTAGGTGTGTGTGGCACATGCCCATTTCTGTACCTCCATTCTCACCTCATTTCCAACACCTGACTTCAGGTGCCAGTTCTGGTCCTCCTTTAGCTCTTCTTCGGGCAAATTCTCTCCTATGCTGGGACAAACACTTCAAGGATAGTCAGGATCTCGGGGGATTTTCTGCTTATGTGAGATGACAGGACATCTTTCTGTCTTTCGAACAAAATAAAGGGAACAAGCACTGTTGTGATTGGTAGTCACAGAACATGCCTTACAGTATAAAAAAAAATACAAGCTAAGATCTGATAGCAAAACAGTCAGTGGGAGTTGTGGGAGTTTTCCAAGTCAGGTGAACTTAGGAATTAGTATAATCCATGGAAAGAAAGGCATGTACTAAAACATGCCCCACCACAGATTAGTGGTTACAAAGATAAATATGTGAACCTGAAGTTAAATTTCTGTTCTCCTTGTTATGGGAAGTGCACTGAAATCCAATTTGACTTCCAGAAGGGCATTGTCTGCCATGAATATGGTACTTGCATTGTCAATCTGGGTGCTCTGCCATCCATGGCCAAGCTGTAAACAGGTAAGATACTCTAGAGCGATGAGGTGTTCTCCCTGGGGTTTGGATCTTGAATGGACTGAAGAAGCCTGAAGCATTGGTTTATAGAAGTGACAGTAGGCTCTCCACTGATGGCGGTTTGTGATACTTAGGCATCTGTCTTTTGAGAGGTTGTATGTTCTCATTTTGCTCAGTTCAATGTGATATAGCCCATGTTTCCCAACAGCTTCAGTTTTAGCCTGAGTCTCTTTGGTCTGCAACTCAGGAACTTTATGGAATAGAAAGGAGTCTATGGGCTCATCTAGAAATTTTCAGATATACTTGCATGGGCAATAGTATAGAAATTGGAGCCAATTTTAGCTTCCACCCACAGAACAGAATGCTATATAGATTGTTTATGTGTTTTTGCCTTGGGGGGATGGGCAGAAAGATACATCACCATAGATATTTCACAGGATATGATTACACGTGATCTTTATTGTGTTCATTGTGCCTTCTGATGCGTTCCAGAATTTCTATAATAAACTGTAATGGGAAAAATACTAATAAAAACAATAAAATACAAGACTGTTCCACCTCATAGGACCGCTGTGAGAACCAAATTAAATAACGTGTGTGAAAACCCCTGGGAAATGGAAGGCATAAATGTGAGTGCATCTGTCTATGTTTGGAGCTGGTGCTGTTTTCAGAGTCCATCCTTGGTAGGCAGGACCACACAGACACAGCCTTGCTCCTAGACAGGCACAGCTAGGGTGCTTTACCTAATGCCTTTTGTTTATGGACCTCAGCATAGGCATCTCCCTGCAGCATCAATGCTTCCAAGGGAGCTGTCAAAGTGCTTCCTGTTAGGGATGTCTTTGATGCTGGAGAACTAATACCACCTACGTTCTTGTTCCAACATGTTTGAACTGAACCAACTCAAAAGAGACATGGCATGACCTAGAGAAGTCTAATAGAGCCAGTTGCAGCCAAGAGAGTCTTCTCTGGCACCCTTCATTCCAGCCTCTGCATTCATGCTGGTAGAGCTGGACAAGTCTTTGTATCCAGAGGCCAGAATCCTGAGCTACCACATCAGCTACCACATAAATACTTAGAGGAACTACAAATGAATGCTCTTTGAGAGGTCTTCTCTGATAAGGCCCTTGGAACAATAGCTGCCTATCCTGGGTCCTGTTTAGGAATGGGGAAGTTGATGGTTTCTGGAACCTAATATTAGACTCTGACACCTTTCCACGAGCCTTTTGAATTGTGGGCATCCTTGAAAATCCAGGCAGATTTATTCATGGTGGTAACAGTCAATATTGAGCATGTATCAGCAAGCAATTAGCACTAAGGGCAATTTAGAGACATTCAACTGATGAACAGGCAACTCAACTCAAGTTCAAATTCATCTCTGTTTGTTTATAGTTCCTTAGACCTTGAGGAAAAATTAACTGTCTTACCACTTGCATTCCCATGCTGCTTTATGCATACCTCATTTATAGCATTTATCACAGTCTGCTAAAGTTATATGTATTTCCTTATCTTTGTTCAGGAGGCTGTGAGTTCCTAGGGGCAAGGAATAAGAATTATCTACATATCAGTTCCTGTCATGTAACAATAGCCTTAATCATTGTCTGAGATGTAAACTATTCCTTCATCTAGTCATTCAGCAAATTTTATGAACTAGCTATCCTGGACCAGGAACTATGGGCATAAAGGTAGATGAAACAGAATATCAGCCTCCATGGACTTGACCTTCTTGGGGGAGGGAGTTGCAGGGAGCAGCACAGATATAACACTATAGGTGTCTGAAGATAAATGAAGGGCAACTTCAATGTGTGTGGGGCAACATATTTGACCGGAGACCTGAGTGAATGAGGGAGTGGACCCATTTGAGATTTATGGGAAGGCTATTGCCAGCAGAAGAGGGAACAAGAATGAATGCCAACGGACACTTGGAAGGGGTATGAAAGGGTAGGAGGAGGTGAGACTTAAGGAGTGGATGGGGCAGAGCCTAGCTGACTACCGTGAGAAAGGTGGATCCCGTTCTACAGGAAAAGCAGAACTGCTAGGTGTCTGCACAAACAGGATATGCTCTGATACAGGTTTTAATTGTGCCATGGGAGAACCAACTGGAAAGGAGCAGGGATAGAAGAAGTGAGAGTGATTAAGAGAAGACTCCTAGACCAAATAGCTGCATTGACTTTGGTGGGGATGCTCAGGCCTAGGATTAGTTAACTAACTGCCTATTTTCAGGGTACGGGTCGATGAAAGACTTGAGGGTGCTCAGGGAAGCTGAGCTGCTGCATAGAGAGAGGTGAGGAGGGGGAAGGGGGGCACTAGAGGGCACCATGACTGCTTAGTCAAGGCCTAGATTGCCCCCACTTCACACACTCCCCAAAGCCCCAAACCAGGTGGTACAGGGCCTGGGCTTCTGGCAACAAAAAGCGCTGAGACCTTCGTAACAGAGCTAACAGCTGCTGTATCCCCATCGGCCCTATCTGCCAGTGTAAGACAAGGAGGAGGGAAACCATAGGAAAGAAGATCCTGCTCCCCCACCCTGCCCCAGCTAGGCCCTGTTCTCCAACATGCTGATGGGGACAGGAACCAAAAGGTATACCCTTGGGGACTTAGCACACCTTCTGTCGTCTCTTGGGTTCTCTAGAAACAGCTGGCTGTGCAGTTTACTTGCAGAAGTAGGGCCCGTGTTGGCCACCAAACTCCAGGGCTGAGCATCCCTATGAATCAAGGCCCTCCAGCTCCTAGGTGTCACTTTTACGCACTCCCTGTTACTGACAGCTGCAGGGGATGACAATGAAATTGCTCACACGAGGATCGGTGTGATTTATTCCCTTTCTATCTTAGTGCTCGTTAAAAAGCATGTAAAAGGGGGATTCTGGGAGGTGATCCAAGGCAGACCTCGAGGAGGGCACAAACCTCCTCCAAAGAAATGGCTCAGACATATTTACGACCCTGAGAGTGGCTAGCTAGCCCTACTTGGCATCAGAACCCACAGAAATCTAGACCAGCATACCCAGTACCTCCCAATTCAGCTCACATTTCTTTTGCCAAAACCTCTTCTCTCAGCCCACCAGGTCACAATGCCCCATGCCCCCCAAGACTTACATCAGAGCCCTCTGCATCTGAAGCATCTTTCTACTCAACTTCCTGACTCTTGAGGTGGACGCTCAAGGCTGTCCCTCTGAGTCTGCTCTCACCAGTTGGCCTCAGATCTCCGCAGTAGTCAGAATAACAGCCCCCCCCCAACAGGTCCACGTCCTATGGCATCTTTCCTGACAAAAGAGAACCACAGCTGAAATAAAGTGGAGTGGAAGATTATCTGGGCCACCTGGCTAGGTCCAGTTTATCATAAGTACCCTTATAAGATGGCAGGAGTCAGGAAAACGAGAAGTGACGAGAAGGCAGGGGAGATAGCTCAGTCAGTATGGGTTTCCTGTGCAATCACAAAAATCCATGTTCTAACTGACTCAGACCCCCTGATCATGGGTCTCAGTTAGAAGGCCTGGGCAGTCTATGGGACCTGTGACAGTGGAGCCAGGAAGTATCCCTGGTGCACAAAAGGACTTTGGGAGCACATTCCCCATGGAGGGACACTCCCTTAGCCTAGAGACAGGAGGGAGGGGCCCAGTCCCTACTGCAAATGACTTGACAGATTTTGTTGATCCTTCCTGGAAGGCCTCACCCTCCCTGTGGAGAAGGGGGGGTGGGATGGGGAGAGTGGTGGTGGGGGCATGGGAGGGAGAGGGAACTGGGATCATTATGTAAAATTAAAAAATGGATATGATAAAGAATCAAAAAAATATCCAAGTTCTATTCTCAGTAGCCACATAAACT